GAAATATGACCTAAACGCTTATGCCATAAGGACCTAGAATTCTCATTGGTTAATTTTCTCTTTACACCACGAGAACAAGTATGCATGACTTCATAAATGAGGCAACAGTATCAAGTAAATATAGGCTATCATTCCATATTAAAGAACCAGTACCAACTTTATTAGAATTCTGGAAAAGACCAAACAATCCATCTCCAATTGTACAATGATAACCTGATTTGTCCAATTGGCAAATAGAAACCAAATTCCGTCTGAATGACGGTACAATGTAAGTCTCTTCTAAATCTAAATAATAACCAGTCTTTAATAATAACCTAAATGTGCCTAAAGCCTCCACTTCCACTGGTTTGCCATCGCCTACAAAGATGAATCTTTCAGCATCACTTGGCTTTCGGCAGTTCAGGCAACCCTGCATTGTTACACTGACGTTAACAGTTGCACCAGTGTCTAACCACCAAGTGTGTTTGGGAACAGAAATTAAGTTAACCTCAGAGCAAATTGTAGCAAAAATTGTACCTTTCTTAGCACGCCAAGCGTGATATTTGGTGCAGTTTTTCTTCATATGTCCTTCCTTCTTGCAAAAATAACAGGGCTCCTCGCCACAGTTATTTTCCCTTTTCTTCAAAGGAGGTTGGACATCCACAGCTTCTTTGCTCTTTCTTTTCTTGTTATTTGAGGTCATAGATAAATGAGCACTTTCTATTCTATCTTGCTTTAACCTTTCTTCCTCTTGCACACAGTGAGAGATGAGCTTATTAACTGTCCATTTATCCTTCTGACAATTATAGCTCACCTTAAACTGGTTAAATTGTGTAGGAAGTGATATCAAAATTAAGTGCATGAGCAAATCCTCGGATAAGTCTAACTTAAGTGCCTTTAATTTTGAAGCAAGATGAGACATCTCCATGATGTACTCCCTCATGTTTCCTTTTCCCTTATACCTCATTGAGATGAGCTTTGCTAAAAGAGTACTAGTTTCAGCCTTCTCATTTCTAGCAAATCTCTTCTGAAGTGTTTCAAGGAAAACCTTAGCTGTAGTGACCTCCTCAGATGTACTATCTCGAAAAGCTTCCGGTATAGAACGCTTCATGATCATAAGACTCATGCGATTTGAACGATCCCATCTCTCATGTTCCATATTTTCATCTTTAGTACTTTTGTCTGAGAGAATAGGTTGTTCCTTCCGAAGTGCAAGGTCCAGATCCATAACCCCAAGAACGATTAAAACATTCTCTTTCCATTCTTTAAAGTTTGCACCAGTAAGCACAGGAATTGAATTGATGCTAGCAGAAATATTAGAAGCAGAATTTGCAGCTGGAAAAGGATTAAAAAAATATGCTCATAAGTATATTTTAAATTAATTCAAAATAATGATACTTCCCATCACAAGATACCATGCAACATCAAAATTTAGTCTTTGGACAGAAATATTAACTTGCAAGTGGCATTCTTGACGTAATAATCAAACACTAACAGTAAATTCCTGTTAAAGAACAAGCCTTTCTTTGGACCGACATATTGTTCACATGGAAACCGTAAGACTGTTACGTATCTATTACTACAGTCTATATAAATAATCCGGCCAAGCATTGATTTTCCTTTGGGCTAATCAACAAGTGCATGAATTATATAGATAGTAAACTGTCTAGATGTTCCAAAATAAAATTAATCTACACAACAGAGGCTACTTTGGCAGCTTATTGCTTCAATTAATCCCTTCTAAAACACTAGAAAAAAAATGTATCGATGCTGAATTAATTTTACTATAGGGCTGTAAACTAAATTACACCCTATTATGCTAGCTTTAGTCCTCGTATACCATATAATTAGCTATCTAATGCCAACTATAAGCATACGTATACAGATATACATATATAAAAAAAATACTAATACTGTACCCCTTCGTGTATTGTGCCAATAAATAAAATATCCAAAATTGCATGCAAGCATAACAATGTAATTACGGTACTGAAATTTGATTAGCACATACTAGGGAACAAACAGATGTATAGGATACGGACACCAGAAAATTAATAAGACAAAACCAGCTTTGCCGACTCGGAATCGAATCGAACTTGCTAATTCAATAACTCGACGACTTGGCTAAACAGATCAATAAAACTTTAACCCAGATATGCGACATGCTCGGCGGAATCGAGCAAACGCAAAAGACCAGAGACTAATTAAACGGCAATTAAATAAAAAAAAAACGCTAGATTCTAATCGTACATGTGTTGCTCTGATACCACTTGTTAGAATTAATAATCTACGAATCTCACATATAAGAACTAGAACACCATCATAAATCCATATTATAACTTAAGATGCGGAAGCGTACCAGAAACTGTAGCCATGGTTGTGAGTTGAATCGGCGGCGAGGGTTTTGATGTTCCAAAACAATAGGCAAACCTAATTTCTCCAACTATTGACGGGATATAGTGGATTGGTTCGTGCCCTGCTTTGGGGACCTGACCCTGTATTTATAGGAGAACTTGAGTTATTGGATTCCTATTCTAACCCATCACAGAATAGGAAACAACATCCGGTCTCTACACGTATACAAATCCATGTTTCTATAATTAGATGCTTTGGCCCCAATACAACTTTAGTTGATCACTTTATTTTTGAGGCAACTGTTATAATAGCCATAATATGTGTATGTGCATCCGCATAATAGGAAATTATTCTAACATCACCCCTATTCCGGGCCCCGCCTCTGCCACCAGCCGCCACCCTATCCCAAGCGCCGACTCTCCCGCCTCCACTAGTCTGCCACTGGCTGCCGCCCCCAGCTCCCGCTTCCTCCATCCAGCTGACGCCTACCCCGAGCAGAAGAGATTGGGAAAGAGATAGGGGAGAGGAGAGATTGTGGGAAAGAAGAAATAGATGACAGGTGGACCCCCATGAATTTATTATTATTTTTGCTGACTGGATTGACACGTTGACGTCACGTGTGCAAACTCCCTGTCAAAACAGCTCAAAACAGTGTTAGGGGGGTAATTCGTCCGGTATGATAATGAGGGTGTAAAATGTCTGGTATTTAAGTTTAGAGGGTAGTTCAATCGACCTCAATAGTTCAGGGGGTAATTCGTACTTTTTTCCTATTAGAATTATCATATCATGTATTAGGTTTATTTTTTTTATGGGACAAAGGAACTATAAAGTACTCCCTATGTCACAAAGTAAATAAACCTAATACAAAATGGTAGACAATTTAGTTTGTCCGTCATGCCCCTCCAACAAAGCTACAAAAGAAGGCAGCATGGGTCATCAGCAAAAAAAAATGTTTCGGTCTTGGTTGAAATTATTATCATTATTATTTTTAGTACAAGTTACATCCACACACATGACATCATAATCATGCATATAAAACACATATACATAGATATGTACTCACTCAATAAAACAAACCCAACCTAGTTGAGAATGAGATATACATATTTATCGTATTAGATTATGTCTCACCAAGGTTTTTTTACGAAAGAATAGCTAGGTGTGTTTTTTCAAAAAAGAAAAAAAATCTTAAATAATGCCTCTTTACTGTCCGAATGGTTGAGAGAGATCACGAACCACTAAAGTTTACAAACTCTGAATAAGATATGTCTAAACTACATATTGATCCGGATCCCATCTTGATCATAATTGAGCAAAAGCTATGATTATTACAAGACCGAGGCGTGAAAGAGATGTCTAACCTAGCAAACTCTAATTGGATAAAAAATGTCAACTGCCTGAAAAATGGTACTCCTAGCAGTGTGATCGTCCTAGCACGCATAAGGGATTGAAGATCAAGCTTCACATACCATGGTATACATTACCGCTAAATACACATGTTTCATTCCAAAAGAGTCTGAGCTAAGCTTAGTTCGCAAAATCGCATAGAGAAAATCCCCTATGTACCTATGAAAGTTCACCTAATCCCTTCTATACCCCTGAATTTTGCTCAATCCCTTACATACCCCTGAATTTTAGTTTGGATCCCTTCCATGCCCTTTCCGCTAGTTGACCGTTAGTTGACCGTTAAATTCTTTTGAAAAAGTCCATTTTGCCCTTTGCTATGAAGAAACATAATAAATTAATGAAGTATATTGTTGGAATGTAAAAATTTATTGGATGGGACTATTATATTTATGAGTATGTGATGCACCATATTATTTGTGACAAATTTACTTTTACATATGATATAAAAAGTTGATACTTATTTATTATTAGTTATTAAAAGTTCTTTTATGTAGCATATGTGTTTTCATAGTAATACAACAGATTTGTTTATTACTTCAGAACACATATGCTAAAAAAAATCTTTTAATAACTAATAAATAAGTATTAATTTTTTATGTCATATCTAAAAGTATATTTATCGCAAATAATATGGTGCATAACTATCTCATAAACATAATAGTCTCGTATAACAAATTTCTATGCTCCAACAATATACTCTATTAATTTATATGCTTCTTTATACCAAAGGGGCAAAATGGACTTTTTCATAAGAATTTAACGGTCAACTAACGGTCAACTAGCGGAAAGGGCATGGAAGAGATCCAAACTAAAATTCAGGGGTATGTAAGGGATTGAGCAAAATTCAGGGGTACAGAAGGGATTAGGTGAACTTTCAAGGGTAAACAGGCGATTTTCTCAATCGCATATTATTAAGGGGCGCGCATTGGGGCGACGGAGGCGCGGGCCACGTCGCCCCATTTTCCTGCCGCCGTCCGATCAGGCGTGGGCGGCTAGGATTGATCTACAGTATGTACAGTGCGTGGGGTGGTATTTTTGCGAACAAGCCCTCTGTTTTGTTCGTAATTCGTTCGGCGTCCCTCTCTAACAGTCCCTCTGAGCTGGAATTTTATGTTTAGACCCTTATGAAATCCGTATATTCTATGCAAAGGAGAGGAAAACCGTGAATTAGGCCTGTGCTCTAAAATGTAGAAGCTGAGGGGTTTTTTCGAAAAACGGCACCCACTACGCAAAACCCTAGCCGCCTCTGCCCGCATCCCCTCCTCCCTCGTCTCGCCCTCTCCCTCTCTCGCCGCCGCCGCCGCCTCTGCTTTCCCCTCGCGCGGTCGCGCCACCACCTCCGCTTCGCGCCGCCGCCATCGTCGTCCGCATCGCCTCGCGCCTCCGCCGCCGCCGCCACCTCCGCCTTCGCCTCCGTCTTCCCCTAGCGCCGCCGCCTCCACCTCCGCCGCCATCGACGTCGCCGTCGCCGTCTCTGAGCGCCTCCACCTCCTTCTCCCCCCTCGCGTCGCCGTCGTCGCCGAGTGCGGACTTCGAGGCGGACGCGGAGAAAGCGACGAGGCGAACGCTCCTCTCCTCTTCCACTCTCGTCTCTCCTTTGCCTGCGAGGAGCTGTGCCTCGCCGCCATCGTCATCGTCGTCAACCTGCCGCCGTCGTCGTCAACTGGCCGACCTAGCCGCTCGCCGCCATCGCAGTGGCCAGATCTGATGGCACGAACTCAAGGCCGCCTGATCTGATGGCGGTGAGCTCGTGGCTGTCGATGGTTAGGCGGTTGGTGGAGCAACCATTGTCCTCCCACCAGCCGGCATCACCCTTTCCGCCGCCATCCGCACCTTGTCGCTGTGTTGGACACTTGGACGAGGGGCTCCGCCTCTTCACGCGCCGTCAGCCGCTGTGTCCGATAGAATCCTCCTCACGCGCCGCGAACCATCGATGGACCAGCTGAAGGAGCTCGGGTGGGCCAAGCGGTGGAGCTCGCAGCCATACGTGTCGTGCTGCACGGTAAGTGCTATATCTTCTCAAGCACCAAGCGCTTCGAATTTGTAGTTGCAGAGAGCATTCTGACCTGCTTCTATTGTCAGCGTCAGGTAGAGTTTTGGGTCAATGCGATTGCATTGGAGCTTGAATTGATTGGTGTTTTATTTATGAACTGTGACAGACATCTCTGCAAGAGCTCACCACGCTTGGGATAAAGCACGTGGAGAACCTGGCGATTCCGAGTGTCCGAAATGATGTAAGGCCTGCTAAGCTTAAAAATGTATGCGTAGCTTTGTTTAATTATTTGGAAATTGCAATGGTGCAGCAGAGCATGATGATTTGATGGGGATTCTGGAATCAAGCATTGCAAAATTGCAAATGCAGAAGAATAGTATTAGTGCCATAATTTGTTCAGAAGAATAGTCCCCCATTTTCCTTGTTGTGATCATGCAGGCAGCATTTTTTTTCACTGTTGTCGGTTCAACCAGATTCCTACCCATTCGTGCAGGCCAGCTTAGTATGGTTTTTCCTTGCTACCTCCTCTTTGTGCTACTCTGGATTGCTACTCTGGATTGATAAAAATAATCTTTTTGCCTTACAAGATAAGTGCATTAGGCTTCGGTCACAGGTTCCTGCAAAATAATTTTTCTGTTGATATTAATAAACAACCTGTGATATATAATTTTAGCTTTTCAAATTTCTGTATCTCAGGATTGGGGCCTTTTGGTTCCTTACTTGATTGGAAGCATCTCATTGATAGTATTGGCTATCGGAAGCATTTCACCAGGCTATGTGTTTGTTGTCTCTGCTAATAAGCCTGTGAAAGTTTGGAAGAGCCGGCATCAAACAATCCAGATGTCTGACATATTCTAAGATTCTTTAAATGGATATTCAAGCAGCGAAACTTATCAGCTTAATTAATTTAATGTTACGTCACTCAACATAGACTACTTATGGCATGACAAATAACACTATCTGTTTTATGAATGCTCAATGAAAATATGTTGCAACTTTATCAAGGATATATTTTAATTTTCCATTCCATCATCACAGTCTTCTGCAATCAGCTATTGGCGCATTTTTAACTGTTTTTCCTGACTATCAGGACAGAGTTTCTAGGCAGGAAGCTGCTCATTTTTTGGGGATGTCTCCAGTTCTGCAATAGGAGTATGTCTGAAAATAGGTTTTTTACTGACTATAGTTTATTGAATATTGAAGTGACTTAACAACCGATCATGACAACAGTTCTTGAGCAGTTTTAGTATAATGGTTAATGATGATATTGTCATTGTAAAGAATTATGCTGAACTAGCCATCTAGGTATAGGTAAATAACATTGATCAAGAATCACTTGAAATATCTGAAGCTAACTTGAGTAGAACTAAAGGGCAATACAAAAATATTTTTTGGAGCTAAGCTAATGGTTAGATGAGCTGGATATGCACTAAGAGCTGGATATGAACTAAGGCTGTCAATTGGATCACTCCATTAGATGCAAGACAATCATACTGACCTTTCAGATTAATTAAGTTGTATATTCTCAGATTTTTCAGGCCCATAGACAGTTGACAGCAAGTCAGCCACTGAAAATGTACACTATTACTAGCTTAGTTTTTCTCTTCCTACTCCTACTTGGTCAGTGTACTACTTAACATTTTAAATAAATAATATCGTGGTTGTGATTGGGCATCTACTGGAAAAGAACTGGTAGGTCAATGAATCCATTACAGTGCTTGTGTTGCAGGGATAGTTCTCTCGTGTTGCACTCCAGGTGTTTGTAGTTTTGCCTTACGGAAGAGTAGTTTCAGTTCTGCTCCATGGCTTGCAGCGGCTGATTACTAGGGGTTGATCACTAGAGGTGTGATTCATGCTTGTCAGTGCTGGTAAGAAAATTCACACATTCCTGTCATCCTGTGTTTAGTGAGGACTTCTTCTTCATCTATTACTTCCACTGATCAGTCTTCAATTTTGGGCAAGCTTTCTATGTACTGATAGTTCGTGTAGTTAGCTTCCAACCAAAGTGGAATTTGTTCTGTGCTTGACAATGTGACATGTCTTAGTTTAATTTGGTTTTGGCTAATTTAATCTTGACAACAAAATGCACTGTAGTAGGAATCACTTGATGTTTTTCATAAGTACACATGATGAAATTATTTTTTACAGTTCTGTATAAGATGTTTTTTATCTCTCTGAATTTATCAAAGCCACATTTTTAGAACTTTCTCAAACCCATGTAATTTCTGAATGTGAAGGTGCACTTATTGAAATGGATGGATTAGTCAACTACCCTCCCATTCCTATAAAACTATACTGAAAAATAGATCAAACAATCATGACTACCCTGTCCCAAACAAATGTTTTTTCCCTAAAATACAGACTTAAAAGGATTGTATCACAGTACTATTTGGAGCACTTTTACATTTAGAGGACTTAGATGCTGAGTGCCAAGTACTGGATGTGAGTAAGCTTGATCATTTAGATTATTTAGATAATCAACATCCTTACTCCTACAGTAACTGCATTGCCTAATGTAAATTTCCAGGATGTTCGTGTAGTTAGCTCCCAACCAAAGTGGAATTTGGTTTTTGTTCGTATACTTCAACAATGTGAATTTTTTTCATGCAGTAACCTTGGTTTTTGTTCCTGCAGTAATTGAATTTCCAGGATGTGAATTTTCAGGATGTTCATGTAGCTAGCTCCCAACCAAAGTGGAATTTGCTTTTTTTCTGTACTTCAACAATGTCACATGTCTTAGTTTAATTTGGTTTTGGCTAATTTAATCTTGAAAACAAAATGCACTGTAGTATGAATCACTTGAGAAATTCATTTATTTCATAAATACACATGATGCAATTTTTTTTTAAGTTCTGTTATTGCTTGCCCTGTCGATTATTGAGTTCACAAGGATCTTCGCTTGGTGAGTATAAATTTTGAATTCTATCCTCTTCGTATGTCTCTTCTCTTGCTCGATTTGCTTTGCTGTTGGTGCCTCTTTGTGACTGTACTGTACCTGCTACTTTTTTTTCGTTAATCTTGTCTTTGATCTCGGAAAGGTTACCTGATTTCGCATAGATTTTGTGGCTTAAGAAGTAATAATCATTGTTAAAATAAGTGAGATTTGAAATAATTATTTCCTAACAAGTGAGATATTAGATAATATGCTGGTAAATTATTTCATATATTATTACTCCTAATAAGTAATAATGTGAAATTTTTCTCACTCTTCGCATTAGCTACGTACAAGCATTATAACAAACATCTCACTTCTTCTGCATGCCAGGCTGTGGTCCAGTATATGAATGATTTGAATGCTGTAAGAGGAACAAACCAGAAGAAAACAAATCGGGGAAGCTTCTGGACCTAGCTCTTCTCGCTGTTTGGTTGTTGCAAAAAGGACCAAGAGCTGGGATTGCCAGTATAGCTGAAACATTTCATCTATATGTATGTTGTGAATTATTCAGGTCTGCAAAGAAAGGAAACGTGGGTAATTTGGTTCCTCTTCTTTTTTTGGCTTCCTTTTTTTTGTGTGTATATATGTAATTTTGTCATGAACCTGTTCCCGCTGCTTCCCGAGGCGTTCAAGGGCAATAAGCAAATCGGAGTGATCGGATGGGGCTCTCAGGTTCGAAAAAAATAAACGCTTTCTTTCTTGTTTTCAGACTTATTTTCCTGTTTCATTTAGATGGCCAGTGTCGCACATGTGACATTTCCAATCACTAATTGATCAATTGCACAACAAATTGCTTCAATAATGAACAAATTGATGTGACCAATGTGGTGAATGGGTTGTCAATTGATTTTTTACATGGATTTCTCATGCTACTCGGGTTCAGGACAAGAAAACCACCTGTAACATAACAGAGTTACTATTGCTTTTTCAGGGGCCTGCACAAGCCCAGAACCTGAGGGATTCAATAGCTCAAGTGAAGTCCGACGTTGTTGTTAAGGTACTCTTATCTTGTACTGTATTTTCAGTTTTGATTCATAGGACACTTTTTGGCAATACTTTGGTATGCAAGTCGCCCTGTTAAACTGAAAGCTCTGAACCATGGTTTGAAGCGTCGATTGAACTCCTAAGTCCTAATATTCGTTCTCCTTTATATATGGCTACAACTTATTATCCATTATTATTTTGAAAAATAACTCGAGCTATACAATTTGTCGATTTGGACATCATAATTCATAAGCCATTATATTTTGTGCTCCTCACTTATGCAATTTTGCATTGTTCTGTTAGTCCAACATTCTATTATGCCCTTTCCTTTCACATTGGTCTCCGGAAAGGCTCTAAGTCATTTGATGAAGCATGTGCTGCTGGTTTTACTGAAGAGAGTGGAACCTTGGGAGATATTTGGGAGACTGTTTCTGGCAGTGACCTCATGTTGCTGTTGATATCAGACACTGCATAGGTTAACTTAGGCTCTAGCTGCATGATTTTAGTTGCCACTTGATGTTGTTACCTTTACCAATGCTTGTTTGAATTGTGCTGAATTTCATGGTTCTGTTGTTTCATGGTCCTGTTTATTAAATTGAATCTCCAATGTCACATGTCATCTGCCGTCACACAATCACTCCTTTTATCCTTTGTAGATGCAGCAAAGCCCACAGGCCCCACACTCAAAGAGAGATAGTTGGTGATGGATCAGGAGCTGAGCTTGGCGGTGGAGCGCGATGCTTTGCTCCAGGAGGACTCGATTGTTTTTGCGCTCATCAAGCAGCAGCCTACACTCCCGCCGCCAAAGCTACCGGTGGCGGGTCCCTTGTGGAAATGGTAATTCTATCATTTACCAGTTTCTTCTTCTGTTGAACTGTAGATAGATCCATTTGATTTGATCCTGATCAAGTTCTATTTTTGAAATGTTGTAGTTCTTTCACATGACAAAACTTGTGGTTATCAAAGCTCTGGACATCTACAGAAGAACAAGGAATCTGGTATGTATAATCATCATGTACCTTTATTTTGTTTTTATTATTACCTAGAGTTACATGCATTTTGTTTTTTTCCTTCTGTACGAAGGCATTGGGAGAACTAAATGATATCTAGAACATAGGACAAAAAGCCTATCTGATTTCTATAATCTTTGTCAGTTTTAAACTCAGTGGGAATTGGAACATATAGCTAACAGAGGCAATTATCTTTACCTTATCCTGTAACTGTTTACTTTTCACCGCTGATAATTTTGATGCCACAAACACATACTTTTCTATCTATTGTCAACTTGAAAGACTAGGCTGATCCATAATATTTCCTATATTATTAATTAGTAATCTGGAGCTGTTCTCATAGACAATGGAAGAGAATGGGTTATTGTTGTGAACATCTTTGTGCCTGTTTGAAATTATCATGTATCTTTTCCTTCTTTCTCGCTAACCTTATCTCTTTTCCTCCTCTCCTCCACACATGAACCAGCCACGGCAGTGAAACCAACGGGCGAACGCGTTGACCACCGAAGTCGCCATCATGCGATTTCCACCAAGATCACCATAAGCCGGTCTTCGCCCAATAACGTTGCCGTAAAACCCCAGGTAAGTTCCTACTGCTTGCCCTAATCCCTCACCATATCTTTTGCTTTCGATCATTCATCCCTGTCCACTCTCTTGTGGGCTTGGGATTTGATGCTCTATGTATGTGATGATTTGAATGAGGGGATTCGACTAGGAAGGTACCGTGTGAAGGATTTATATGATATTAGTGTCGTTTGACCTGATTAGATTCAATCTGGCTTTTTTTTTTTAGGCAAAGTTTGCTACAGGACATCACACTTGTGTGGTTTTAGCTCAGGGACACCGCGAAAGTGAAGTTTTGGGGGAAGACATCCCATAACCACAAAATTTGCCATAATAATTTATCTACAGTATCATCTCCTTTCTCAATAACCATAAAAGAAGCTTACCAAAAATATACAATGCAGGCAACACCAGGCATACATTTGATGATGTGTGCTCCTTAGCACAGAATGTTCAGCTATCATCTCACATGAAGCACATCACAGATATTTCCCAGACTATACATCCTTCAACCAGGCTTTACATTGTCACTATGAACTCTACATTCATGAAACAAGACAGAGTTGTCAGTTCCACTCCGAGCTATTACTCTCTTCTAGCTGCATTGGTTATTTTTCCATGTCCTTACAGCTATATAAAACAACTCACATATAATGTCTTTTATAGTACTTTGGTAAGGAATTTACAGGTAGATATATAAAGCCGCTGATTCAAAACAAGAAAGCCATCGGTATTCAGGTCCAGACACTACAGGGTGTTTCAATTAACATGCTCATGTATATATCAACAGATGGTCGTTGCAACCTAAAGAAAGGATGGAAGGACTTTGCAGCAAACATTGGCATACACCTACACGCAATTTGCATGTTTCTTTTCTACAAAGCAACCCACGTTGCACTGACAGTTGATGTTCTGTGAAAAACAGCTGTTCACCTTGTCCTACAGATATCATTTTGCTATCGCTGAACTATAGGCTTGAGATATTATCCATGTAAAACTCTTGCCTAACATGCCACTATATCTATACTGATAGCCACTCTATCATAGACACTTAATGTGGCTCGTATGTTTCATGTAAATTTAAGCTAGCATCTATATGTATGTCTGCTGCTAAAAAAAAAAACTAAACAGCCATGTTTCTGTGCCTGGTTAGCAATGTCATCTATCTATTAACCTTTCCGCAACATAATTTCAATGCTTTCATTGTTCTGTCCGTTTATCAAAAAAGAAAAACTGTTATTTTCTTTCATGGTAAATGTACTCACCGTACAATCTATGTTTACTGCCCCCAGGCGGCGCGCCATGGGCGCGCCCCAGACTCTAGTTAGAAACCATTAAGAGCGGCGGAAGGGGCGGACGCTGGGCGTGTCCACGTCGGATTTTGCTACAGTATCTACAGTGCGAGGTTGGATTTTTTCGAAAAAGCCCTCCGATTCTTCATAATCAGGTATAGGCCCCTTGCGTCCTGTGTTTGAAGAGAAAACAATCACGGACAGGGGCTTCGTTGTGATATGTGGAAGACGAGGGGCTTTTTCACAAAAATACGCCAACTAGCCCCTCAAACCCTAGCCGCTTGCTCTCCCTCTCTCGCGCCGCTACCGAGCACTGCCGCCTCCGCCTCCCCCTCACGCCGTCCCCGTTGCCTCGCGCCGCCGCCGCCTCCCCATCGCGCTGCCACCTCCGCCTCCCGCCGTTCCCATCGCAGGCCGAGCTGCCGCCGTCCGTCTCCCCTCTGCCCTCTCGTCCCCCACTCTCTCCCTCTCCCTTTCCCTCTCCCTCCGCCGTCTCCTCCCCCACCCTCGCCTCCGCCTTCCCGTCGCGCCATTGCCTCCGCCTACGCAGCCGCTGTCGTCGCGTCACCGTCTCCAAGCGCCTCTGCTTCCGCCTCCCCCTCGCGTCGTCGCCATCGTCGTCCCCGTCTCCCTGCGACGCTGGCGCCATCGCGTCACCGTCTCCGACCGCCGTCACCGAGTGCAGCCGTCTCCGCCTCCGGCCTCCGTCAACGACGAGGTCGGAGCGCCGACGGCTGCATCACAGGCGGCGCGAAAAGCTGAGGGCCCAATCCTGGCGGCGGGACTGCCGCGAGGTTCCGGACGCATCAACTCGAGGGGGAGACGGCGGAGGGAGTGGGGGTTGAGGCGGGCGCGGTCTTCGTCCTCCCGGCGCCAGATCTGCTTCTCATCTCCACAAGGACACCCCAGCCCACCACTCATCGGCGTCGCCATGGTCGTCGGCGTCGCCCTCATTGTCGCCGTCGCCAACAGACTGCGTTAAGAAGCCACTCCACCACCACCAGCAGCAGGGGCATCCACCGTACGCCGCACCAATGCCTTCCCCTTCCCTCCCATTTGTGCCCTCTGGGTCACAGGTAGTCGCTTCATCGGCAGCCGCGTTGCCGTCAATGTACAAGGCCAATGACCAGCAGCGAGCAACTCATGGCACCAGAGACGGCGGCGGCGACGGTGACTACTAAACTCTTGGCACAGGAGATTACAAAGGACGTGCAGGTTTGTGTGAGTTATTCTTTTAAGGTTGCCATGAGGAATAGTTAATCTCGTTTTTTCCCCTATACACCATGAATTGTTGCACATCAACATTGACAGTGATTTTCATTTTTTTATTAATGCAATGGAGCAACCTAAGGATTATACCAATTTACCAGGTGCTCTAATGCCACTGTTGGTGATGAAATTTTGAGAGACCCTAATCTTGCCATGTTTACGATGTTCTACAGAACCTGCATCCATTCCATCTAAAAGAACTCATCAGCTGGGATTGAAGTACTGATCAGATCTTTTTTTCTAGGTGAACTCAAGAAGAAAGTTCGAAAAATGGGACATTGCAATCACAACATTGGAACCTAATATCAACACTATGCTCATTGCCATAGGTTCTCCCATTTGTATAGCATTTAGAGATTTCTTTTTTTTATAAAAAAAATTGTGAACAATTTCCATAAACTCACATCAAGGTGTCTCAAGCAGTGCCAGGTAAAGAAAGGGACTACAATGCTTATTCAAAGGATTATATGTCTTCCATAGTGAAGCAGTCATGCACTAATACTAGAAGCTGCTTTAGAGATGGAGACATCCCGTCAAAAATCTGCAATTACCCAATGAGTGAGCCATTTTTTCCCCATGATTACTTACTATTTCAGACTTGTATTTCTATACATGTGGCACCTTTTCATTCCAGTTTTTTTTTGACTGGGCTTTTCATTCCAGTTTTGTGCCTGAGGATCATATAAATGACTCTGATCAATCGTCCACCTTAGCTGGTTGCTCTGCTTGCTGTGACCATGCCACGACATCCGAAAACACAGAGGACCAGGTTGGTTAGCCATATTTCATACTCGTTGCCCTCTGAACAATCAATAGAGAATCACTTCTAGCAATCTGTTATGATTCATTTCCAGATGCATTAATCTATTCTCTTTCTTAGTACTTTTCTTGGTATTTTAGGTTTTCTTGGGGCTTAGTTATAGAATAGGGTTTTGGAGTGTGTTTGTGGAAAAATTTAGAAGCTTCACATACTGGATGAATTTTTTTAGTAGTTAGCGTATTGGTTATTGGCAGTCAAATTTTTTTAGTACAACTGGTAGGAGGATGAGCTTATATTTGGCACTACTATTCAGAAGATGTTAATCTCAATCTCCCATTTTACTGTACTTAATGTTTTCTTAAATGTTACTCCCTCCATCTACTTTTGATAGTCATATTTCATCTTGACACACAGACCAAGGATAAGTAATTTTACTTATCATTCATTTAAGCATGCTACTAGTCATTCCTTGTAAACAAGCGATTCATTAATATTTACATTTCTCAAAGCCCATGTAGCCAATCATGTGTGGAAGAATGGAGAGTCACGCATTAAATTCGAGAAAATCATTAAGATGATAGGTTGTTGGATTGAAATATGCCTATCAAAAATAAAATTTTCAGATTTGGAAATATGACTATCAAAAGTAGATGGAGGGAGTAAATACTTAAAATGGGACTGCAGTTGGTCACTGATGGTTGCTTGATAGCCATAAGGAAAAGAGAGACAAAAATAATGAATTCATGCAGAGGTTTCAGTCAATTGCAAATAATATGAGATTGGTTGACTTAAAATTGAGGATGGTGTGGTATGATGAGCCTCTGTTGATCTGATCATTTTCCTTTTTCATGTCAGGTTTGACAACTTTGGATTGCATACCAGAATTTTCCATGTTCTTCAGCTCTCAATAATTCATCTTCAGGTAATATGATGGTAGTATAGGTTTTTAGATGATTTGCATCAAGGGGTGAAAATAAATTAATCAGCACTGCAACATTGATCTTTCTTATGGGTTGTCACTTTAGCTACCACAATGCTTATTTGCAAGCTCGTGATGTGTTGCAAGATCTAGAGTAGTCTAGAGAAACCTATGTCATAAGCGCCACAATTCCAAACCGAACCTCCCCCAGTGTACTGTTCGATGTGGCTGCTATAGTTCTTTTACTAAAAGTATGTAAATTTATTTGTTCTATGGCTTGTGTAGAGGAGAAAGGGAAGTGAGGAAAATTTGTAAGTGACGAATTTGACAGATTGCGACGGGCACCAGTTATGCTGGTAATTTTCTTGAACCTGACACTAATTTCAGGGTACGTACATTCTTAATCCAAGCCACAACAATGTCTGAGTGGTTTTATATGTCGACCATCTGTAGTGTCTTCTTAACTGTTCATTCTGTCTCACCAAGACTGAAGAATGCATTTCTCTTTTACCTATGTATATTCAGTACTATGAGGTCAGATATGCAGATATACTTCTTCTACTTCATAAATTTGTGGAATACAAATAAGCTAGGGCGAAGATAAATATGGCAGGTTAAACTATCCGTGGATATAAAATATGTCATCAAGCCTTAGATTTTTCAAGATTATCAGGAAGTGTATATTTCAGACTATGTATTTACTTTATTTTGTTTCAAGTGATGTAAAGCCAGATTATTTTTGGTCTTGTTTACATTGTATCGGTCCAGAGGTTTTGTTCCTTAGAATCATCTTCCATTGTATGAGCAGCATATTCCAAGCTGCTCCTTTAAAGGAATCACTCGCTTTCCATATATGCAGTATATTTTTATTACACGATAACATCACTATTAATTGGTATCTATATGGAAATTAAATCATGCCAATATATCCAGTGAAACCAAGTGCTATTGGTTGATAGCAGTAAAGATGTGTTTTCTCTGGCATTTTAAGTTGCAGTGTTCTGATGACTTCTAATTACTAATGATGTGATGCATAAATTCTATGGCTGGTTCTGTTATTTCTTTTTATTTGAACGTAATTTGCTTCAATGATTTGATGTGGTTAAAGGAGAAAATATCTAAGGCCATGTTTGGTTTCTCAGGAGTCCAGGAGTTGGAGCCATGCAAACATACATCATGCTAATGTCGTCCTGAGCTTCCAGATTAGGCCCTGCTGTATCGATCAATATATTTAGGTCAGTTGAGGCTCTAAATTAATTCTGATGATAATTTTTATTCTGCTGTATTTGACGGGCCTCATGCATCTGAAGATCTGGATTACTGTGGCCGAATTCGTGTTTTGATTTTGGGGTGTAAAATACTGAAATCAATACCGTTGTCCTTGCTTTCATGGGGGGTATTTGGTGATTTGGTTACTTCGATTACATCGAGTTGGAATGTCAATGCTCTCTGAACCTCGAATTTATTACTGGGTTACCGCATTAGATTATTGGCTTCGCAAGCTGGGCCTTGTGCAAATGATCCTGCGTGAAATATGCACATAATTTACTTCCCTAGACGAGTTTCTGCTAACTATTCTATAGATCATTTGCATAACCCAGCAGCCAGCTGTTTCTCTCTTCTTCCTTTTTTCCCCTCTGAACATGTTTACTTAGGTCAATTTCCAGACATTGAAATGTCTTGCAAGATCAAAATTCAAGGTTACTCCGCTCATTCTGTTTTGAGAGAGTTCAAGGCTAGAAGAGTAAAGTTAGTAAGCAAATAAAAATGATGCAAAGAATATACTTGATCAGAGCTAAGAATGCTCTCATAAGTCATAAGTCTGAACTCCCAGAAATAAAACGTCAAGCTCTTAGAAACATGATATATGCCATTTAAACCTTAAGTGCCCCTTTCAGTTTTAAGGGTAGAAGCCATGTCTTCTTGGATGCTGTCTTTTGATTTTCCGTCAAATGGATCGTCTCCTTTCTAGAGATCTAAAATAGACTTGCACAAAAGCATGCTGTGTATGCTCCCCAATTCTTCTCCTTCAACTACACAAAAACACAGAAGATAAGCTTATTAAAGAAGAGCGGAGTGTGCCTGTTTAAATTTTACCTGGAACTAATATGAAATGAAATAAGCAGCAATAAAACGTGACAGGGATTTATCATGGCATTGAAATGCTACCTCACAGTGTTACATGATTATGATGTTTCTTTCTTCTTTCTTTTCCTTTTGGCATGATAAAATGAAAACAGGATAAAAGTTGGTTTAATTATGAAAAGGCCATGGATTTACTACAGCATTATCTGTGATGACTTATTTGCTACTCTTCATGCACTCAATGCTAGGACCAAATGCATGAATAGAATGAGAAAATAGTCCTAGGTATTGGGAAACTGTATCAGACACATGCCCATTCATTCTAACAACATTTCAGTTTGATTCTCAAAATTCTTCATGCCATCAAAGTAAATACTATCTGCACTGTCTCAAATCAACTACAAAGCTGTCAATAAAAAAATGACAAAGAAACAGAAGAAAAGGTGAAGATAGAGCTTACTACTTATTTTAAGCACATGTCTTGATTCTCTTGAGGGCTCAATCACGGACCCCTTCGGTAATTTGTATTCATCCTTGAAAAGTGAAATGAAACTGTGGAGACCAAGGTGTCAAAGACAGAAGAAACTTGTGTAGTTATCATTTTAACTTGACAAAGGTATGCTAAGATTGGAACTTACGCATTAACAAAAAAATAGTGGAACAACATTATTTACTAAACAGAGTGACAAACCTGAAACTATAATATGATTTATTTTTCTCAGCTGATGATTAGTTCTGAATCAGTATTGCTCTTCTTGACAAATGACCTCTCTCTCTCTCTCTCTCTCAGCATGATGACAGCATTATTTCTATACATGGGGATATTGTGTATCCGGATAAGAATAGCATTATTTGTAGGTAAGACATATATAAGAAGTAAATGTATTTCTAATTTATAAACTGAGAATGTATTATTAAGTGCTTTAACATGTCATATGCAGAAGTTGCTGGAATGCTAGATAATCTTGTCCTCTTTTAAACATAGCATGAGAATTATAGTAGAATCAAGATGCTTTCCTTTGCTTGGTAAAAATGTTTTGGACTGCATTTCAGAACTCATACCATCATCTATTTCAGTGTAATTACATTATTCTGCAGAAAGACACACAAAACTATCATGGAAATATGGAATAGATAGTTCTATATTTATAAGGCATATAGTTCTTAATTCTTTTAATCAAGCTGAGTGCTGTTTTGTGTGGTTCATGAATCTTTGCGTTACCTGTAAAGCTGTGGTTTATATATTTCTTTGGGAGCTAGGTTCGCTTGGTAATATAATTGACTGGTAGTAATATACATTGGTTGCACTTTGAATGTGCTGAGAATGGGGTCACCTTGCATGCTTTTTTATATTCTTAAATAATGATGAATTTTCATGTGAATGTATGTATAGCATCCACATTGTTCATGTCACTGATTAGGAAAAATGTATTATTTGTTCACGTATATCTCATTTGTTCTCTGTGTTACTAAAGGCTGGAGGCTATAGAAAAATATTTCAGCCTTGAAACAGTCAAGGACATTGTGGAAGCCATGGTGAGTGATGCTTCAGTTGTTTTATACTTCCAAATCTCTGGGCATGGTATGTGCTCCTTTTCATTTGAACATGAGTAAGCAGAATGCTGTTGATTGGTACGATAGCTTTCAAGGCTACATTTTATTTCCATCTCATTATTTACTCAAATGAATCTCGTGGATATTTTTTTTGGAATTATCAAGTATTTTTTTCAAATATAGTAGTTATCGTTACCGTTTTGGCATAGATTTTGTTCCTTAGGCTACCTTTTAGTTTGATCTTGAAGGTTTTGGTTCCATATACATAAATTTTGCTTATGGTTCAAAACTTTTAAGGAGATGTTGTAAACTTGTAATCAGGAAAGTGAAGCATCTAAGTTAGATGAGGATTGTTGTACCTTGGCCATGAAATGACTGAGAGAGCCCTATCCAGTTCTGTTGAGAGCCTCACAGTGTTTGGTAAGTAAAGAAAATAGAAAAGCTCACACTGCCATTGCCGATGGCTGACAGATTTTATTATATGCCTGTCCTACAGATGAATTGCAAGCTACAAATGCTTTGCTGTAGATATGAATTGCAAGCTTACAGAAAAGGTTTTGCACTGTGGGCTAAAAAGTCCCATTAACCAGGAAGGTGAGTGTTGTTTTTCTCCTTTAATATAAGAATTTGCTACCTCAATTTTTTTTTACTCATGTCAGCACTGAGATATAATACTGATACATGGATTGATGCTGTATTATATACATACTCAGTTTTTTAATAGATGACGCCATTGACTTTTTCTCACATGTTTGATCATTCGTCTTATTCAAAAATTTTATGCAAATGTATAAGATATAAATCACACTTAAAGTACTATGAGTGATAAAACAACTCATAACAAAATAAATTATAATTACGTAAATTTTTTGAATAAGACGAATGGTCAAACATGTGAGAAAAAGTCAACATCGTCATCTATTAAAAAACGGAGGTAGTATTTCTCTAGCTTTTACTCATATGATTAAGATTTCTTTTAAATGTCAATATATCTTCTTTTTATGTATTTAAGCGTCCCTTTGTGCTTTTATTTTTGGTTTGCCAGTTTATGTATTTCATTTAAGAAAGGTGTATGGATTACATGTATATAATCCTCGCAAAAAAATGCATGTATATATTGTGGATTTAGCCATCTATTTTCCCTGCTCTTTCATGCTTTCAAAAGGGCCAGCGGTCACTTGGTATTGTGTGGGTGCTCTGCACATGGCTATTTTTATAAATATGTAAATCATGTTCGCGTATCCCTGCATCTTATGCTAGACGTTGATTAGTTTTCAGCAAAAAATTGGGAAGTTATACTTGGTTGAAATTAGTATTTTGTCGATGGTTATCATAAATATATCAAGAGTTCTAAACTAGAAAAAAAATGGTATCCCCAAATCTAAAATATTTCCTGCATAGTTCACGTTAAATGAAATGGCCTCATGCATATACAGGAGTATCTAATGGAATGATTCACTCATTTACCAAAAAGATAGTACAATATTATTCATCATAGAATGCTACCATCACCACCACTATTTTTTTTATATCAGTAAAAGATGGATGAGCCTTTGGAGATTTATTAGTTATTAAGTTACTTATGCTTTTCTCACTTTCAGCTTGAAGGATACTAATATTAGTAATTCCACAAATGACACAATAGATATGCTACAACTTTGGCTCCACTTACACTATCCTGTATATGACTACAAAACTGCAGCTGTGAGAAGATAGAATGTCATTACTTCAAGGGTAAAATCCTATTTTTTTTGGTTTATAACTTGATGAATGTGATTTTGCATAATACTCTTATATATTGCTGCTACCTCATAAAAATACATTCATGGATCAATGTTCCTCTAGCACTGATAGGCCTAGAAACAAGGTTGTCCTTTTTTCCCTTAGTGTGTGCGCGCACTATGATAAGATGTTACTATTAGGGTATTAGTATGTACCTGCAGGTCTGCAGGTTCTTTTGAATGTGATTTAATTAGCTAATGTTTGCTTTCATTTCAACCTGTTTACATTTTTCAGGATGTGATGCGATGCTGAATCTAATATTGGAAAGTCAAGCCCTTTGTTCTTCAATTGTCCTATTTGCAAAGATTATGACCTTTCAATTTGTCATCAATTATTTATGACACCAATGCATTCTCTTGGTGTATGCACCAAAGCAATTTGTACGCGGAATTACTTATATTTTTTATATAATGAAAGCATTGTGTTCATGTTTGAACTAAAAGTCAAACAAACTGAGGTTTTAGTAGGGGATGCTTTGCATTGATAATAAAGTACCCATTACTTTGTAGTTACATGGGATATTTGTTACATAGGATGGATTACTGACTCAACTCTGGTGTCATTGATATACACAGGAGAGTTAATATAGAATATATGATGTTACTAATATATTTATCAATTGATTGCTTTAGTACATGGACGTGTTTTAGTGTATGCAGGCGGCGCGCAATGGCGCGCCCCAGCATCTAGTTATATTTTAAAACATGCGTTTATGTTGATCTTTTCGTAGTTGAAACGTGAGTTAACTGGTTGAGTGATTTTGTTAACACATTAGAATTAAGAAGTAGAGCATTAAAGTTACTTTACTTTAGTCCATATATTACATATCCCATAAAATCAAACAGTTGAAGTTCTCCACAAGGTTGAGGATAATAGAACATTACATTAGTGGATTAAGCGGTACCTTCTAAATTGTATTCTGTGGTGCTGTCAATTCAGTCTCTTTTGTAGCTTGTAAGTTTTCATCTTCCTGTTTAGAATAGGGTACCCAGATGACGTTCTTTAATACTGGTCAATGATAGGCTATTGGAGCAACAATTAACTTCTAAATTGAATAGAAAACAACAACCTACAGTGACTTGCCTTTCACCCTTTCTAGGCCATCCAATTGTTGTACAATCAAGATAGCCCCGTAACATATGCGTCTAGGCCTCGTTTATAAGGAGAAATATCCGCTGAAAATGATCAGCTAAGTAAAAATCCATGAAAAATCGGATCTCTTTTTTAAATTCATAAAAATACCAGGTACAGGTATAGGCATGAACTACGTTACCAAACTCAACTTCATTTGGAAAGAAAAAGAATTGACAAATTTCAAGCAAATAACACTGTTCAAATGAAATTTTACTTATTTTATAGTTTTCACTGGATAATTCCTGTGTAAACCACGACTAAAATATCATCTAAATTAAAAGAAAATCCCATATGTAGATGAGATAATTATAACCATGTAAAATATCTTGTCCAAACTTGACTTTATTTGTGAGATGTGAAAATAATAAATTTCAAAATTACTAGTCACATCCATCACATACGAAAGGAGACCAGCAATTGTCTTTTTCTACAACACTGTTGCTACATAAATCATGTATTACATCAGAGTATCAAAGAATACGAACTCCCATTGTTGTTAGGGTGAGGGCAAGGGCATGTCTGAATCATTTTGCCAATGTAGACCTTATAAAAAATTTGGTCAAGTACGGTGGCTTGATCTATTGCCAAAATTTTGAAATATCGATTTTTTTTTGCAACAAATCAAATGAATACACTACCAATGTTTTGGCTGGCTGATTTGGGCAACAAACCAAATGGCCCTCTTTTCTCTGACTTACCTTGGATTGATGGCAACGGTGGAGCAGACACTGAATGATGGCCTTCATTCATGTTTCAGTTGTCACTTTGCATGAGAAGATCCTCAGGAACATTTGCCCTACAATATCATGCTTCAAAACAGGGTCAACCAAGCTTACCATTAGCAAGCCAACAGCTTACCGGATCGCTGTGACAATATCAACATGAAACAACCGCTCATTCCACCCAGGACACCGAGGTAATGGTAAAACAACCTTTTAAGATAGTCTAAATATCAACACAGTTGCATTGAGATTTTAAGGTAAACGGGCAACGCGCCACACAGAGGTATTCACAAAAACCACCACCAAGTCTCAGTGAGATTCCCAATTGAAGCTCACTTACCGTCTCCAGTCCAGTAACCAATTGGTGAAGATAAAAATAAATGAACCTTTTGAGTCTTGAGCTCCAGGTGAAGCTGAACTGGAGCCACCAGTTACTTATAGAAGACTATCACCCTAAGACTGATTTTGGTTCCTAGAGGAAGCAGAAGACCTGGATCTACTCTTACCACCGTCTTGACGAAGGCGTAGGAAGGCAGGTTCAATTGAGTCATCATCACTATCTACACCATTAGCATGTTGAGCTACTCGATTCTGGAAGGCTCTTCTGCGCGGCTGGAAAACATTGTTGTAGTAACTCACAAGGGCACGTTCACCTTTGTAACGGAAGGCGGCACGCAGCTTGTCCCAGAAATTGTACTTAGATGAAGGCAGATTCTGCTGGACAATGGTCTCAAACTTCTTTTCTTCATCCTTTTGCCATGTTAATGCTGCATCCTGTCCAATTTCATCAAACTTCATTGCATAGTATGATGAGCCCATTTCACGCTTCAGCTCGGTCTTTTTCTCTGCCACATGAAATCTGACACAAGAAGTGGAACCTGGGACTTCACAGTTGCACTTGTCTGGCCTGCCCTTACCAATAGTATCATCAAAGACCTCATTGTTTTTTGGAGTTAAAATAGGCTCTCCAAGAAATCTCAGCATATCTGGATCTTCATAAGGTAATGAAGGCTTCCCAGTCCATTCTGGAATATCTGCCAGACCAAAAGAGCGATTTGCACGAGAATTCCAGTTACTGCTCCCACCTGCAGATTGTTGATCATCCCATCCATCATACTGTCCATCCTCAGTTGTAAGACCACTCTGCAGGAACAAAAAGTGATCCTTCTCAATTTTATTTTATATCTTAGGAAGGAATTGTCAATTAATAATAGGCCATAGTTCAGCATGCATGTCAAGCAGTTTTGAGTTCTACAATGATTGTATTTGTATGGTCTGTAAACCAATAATAAGCTAATATGTAGCAACCAGTTCGTGATTACAAAGTGGATAAGCATGGCGTATCCCTGAAGAAATATAAATGCCCAATCCACAATTCCACACAGAATACAAAATCTGAAGAAAGGTATTGCCAGGTGTGGTTTGTGCTGGCTCAATCTTATGGTAAGTACAAATATAGCCTAAACTTAGGATCATTCCAGAACATACTCTACTTGCATCTTGCCAAGTAAAACAGTAGCAAGCCAACTAGGTTTTGCCATCTTACGGTCTTACGGATAGGCATGGACTACACTATACATGCATTCTGAGATGAGGAATATGCAATTTTACCTCATCCTTACGATAATCAGGTTTACACGGCATAGCTAGTAAGCAATTAATTACACTACACCATATGCATGGAAAGTCTTGCATTAATGGTATTACAACAGTGACAAGAAATATCGTAGTGTTTTAAGTAGATGGTATTACCATTTAAAGAAAAAAAAAAAAACTGGACAGGCTGCAGTTTTGCATTGTTACTGGTCTATTGAATATTACAAGCATCACCTTGTCTCTAGCAATTGTAGTTATGTTTAAATAAGTCGAGGACTCTTTATTTACATACCCACTATAGTTAGGGAAAAGAATCAAACATGGAATGGATCTTCTAGATGGTATGCATCAGTTATCTGTCTGGTTAAAGTTTCATTGCCACTATTTGCTACACTCAAGTATGTGGCCAGTGTTTTGGTTCTTTCTCAAAGGTTGTAGCATGTTGATGGAACCCTTTATTCTAAGGTTCCCCTATAAGCAGCTCATGGTTTCTAGGTGGTACACCCTCACTCCCTTAGTATTGGCATGGGTTAGACTCCATGTGCTCTATGGCTGAGGCAAGGGACGAACAAGGCTACCCTCAAGAGGTGCAAGTCCTTAACCCGACACATGGGCATTGGTCTAATTGGCCTATAGCAAAACATAGTGGTTGATGACCTCAACAACCCAGGGCAAAGGCAAGACTTGCTTGTCATCCACCCTATGGATGATTTTCCTTGCTTATCTAGTGCACATAAAAGTATTGTAGCCTTTTGTACATTAGCTACAATCCTATAAGTAACTCCTAGCAACTCATTTCTAAAACATCACGTCAATCAACACAAAACACATTTATAGGTGTTCGGTGCTCCTTAGAGTGTTCACTCATAGGCACCCGCAGTATAATCAATTGAACTAGAAAGTGAACTAGCTAAGCGATGTTCAAGTGGTTTGACTGTTCAACCGAGCGATCGAACTACAATATCAAAATAATCATCTAGGATGCATGTTCCTTTCTAGGTTGCCTACACCATGGAAACCCGAGGTCGAGTCCCCACCTAGCGCCCCTTTTTAGGAGCTTTGCAAAAAGAAGAAATGATGACGCAAGCCTTGATGGAAGGAATTGGACCTCGGTTTGGCCCACTACAAAAAATCATCAGCCCTCCACCCGGTCCAACTCATCCCGGTTTTAATGCCTAGTTCACCTAAAAACCACCCAATTCGAATAGCTAAAAACATCCAAATTTACAAAGTATGAACGGTTTTTGGATGCAACCAACCATTCCACATTTTCCTAGTTAAACTGCCAATCCAGTATAACTTTTCAACACTACCATCTCCAACCATATGCCGATTGAGCAACCAATAGGCACTCAAACGTGTGACTAATTGATCAAAGTATCAAAATGTTTTCATAGACAACCAAATAAGAAACAACATACTCCAACCAAGATAAGAAGCATATTAACACAAAGACATGTGAGCAAAGCGATTTCATATATTGTAGGCTACATACCTAATATATCACAAAAGGATGGACTTCACGAGGAATTTATACCACCTAAAAATGATGGTACAACATATCATAGGGAGTTTTGGATGTACCACTTAAAGGATATTGACAGTACGATTGGCAGCCCAAATTAATCTAATTGACCAAGACTAATCACATCAGTAGTATGAAATGCCAAACATTCCTCTTAACAAATGCGAAACATAACAAGATATCAACTTTATGGTATGCAGAGGAGTATGAAGTGCATGAATCGACCAAGTCCCAAATCATAGAAGTGCAAGAAAGATAGAGCAATGCTATCAATCATATCTTGGAATGACGATTCGACTTGAAAAAACCAAACCTAAATCCTAGGTTATGCCCTTTGCAACATTTTACCGTCTCTATAGTTAGGTCAACATGAATCAAAGAAAATAAGATTAGACAAAGCGATGTTTAAGCAAAACGATGATTTGATCTACCTCAATCTATGCATGACACAAATTAAGTGGCCAAAACTTAGGGTGTTGGATTCAAACCATGGACGGGTTGTTTGGCAGAAAGTAGAAAGCTATAAGGTAGTGGATGTAGGAGCATAGGACTTTTTGGCAACTATTTATCTACTATATTCTAGTACATAAAACCATGAATCACTGGTTGATCGGTGGCAAGAGAGCTAGTTCAGGTCAATTACTCGATCAAGTTTGATCAATAAGGGCAAGCAATCAAGAAGCCCTCACAGGCAAGGGCAAACCCAAACCCCAGGCCACATAGGCCATGGACCAGGGCATGGGAGTAGGGACTAAAGGTCCATCGAGGTGTGCAAATTTTCACCATCGTAGCACAGATGTATCAAGAAACTAGGCTTGGGACCATGGCTTTGGCCCATTTCTAGGTGCGTCCATGCTGATAGACATACCAATGAGCAGTCATTTTCACGGTAGATCAATTAACTAAGATGAATAAACCCACCAAGTTGCAACACGCAACATTTACTTGTATCAGACACTAGTCCAATCCAAGATTAAGGGATTGCGTCAATTTGGTCATGGTTAATGTTCATGGGATCACCTATATCAAAACATGAAAAGTGTTATCCGTATAATCTAGACAAGTGATCCACCCGAGCTCTTGGCTCATCCATTCAACATTCCAATTATTCAGCCAGTCGATTCAATTGCGGTTCACTATATTTACCTTCAAAGTGGTCTAAATGCATGAATAATCCCATAGCACAACTGGACCAACTTTTTCAACTATCGGTCAACTAGGCTAGACTTTATGATTTTGATAATGTGAAAACAATGTGCATTGGTATCCTTCAATAGTGTGAATCATGACCATGGGTAGCATAGCATGGTGTCATTGCTTCTACCGCATCATTTGTCGACTACTTCTGCTCACTGCGACTGTTGTCGTCGAGTTATCCTTGGTTCTTGGTTTGCATCTTGCAACTCGGCAACTACTTATCACAGTCTGTATGTTCATGAAAGATCATGCCATCCGACTTCGATCAATCTCTCCTTGAGATTCAATTCGCATCAACTACAACAAGAGCTACTTAAAATCTTAGATAGTGTTTTGGTTGGGGGAATAAGGTGGAATAGATAGATGGTCCTTTTTTTTTATAGGATGGGACATGACGAATTGACGAAATGAAATGGTTCTAGATTTGTTTGGTTCAAAGGATGAGATAGTCCGGAGCTTTATTCGGTGTTTGATTGAAGAAATGGAATAAGATTAGACTAGTTCTAGTAACCTTCTGGTGTATCTACCGTTTTTGCTCCTTGCTTTTGCCATGCCACTACCATGCATCTTCTTGTCCCCCATCTCGTGTTAGCTAACACTAAGGATATCGGCCCGATATCCATGGCAATGGTCGTATCCCCTCAATTACAAAGCTAAGGGAAAGCAATGCCATGAAAGTCCTTGAGTGCAAAGGCAAAAAGGAGCTTGACTGCAAGACTCAACCGTCGAAAAGAGACGAAAGTCAGCCTTAGTGATCCAATGGTTCCTGATCAGATGCGGCCATGTGACTGAGCGAGACAAGTTGGGATGATCTCGTTCGGCCAATTTTTTTCGACAATATAGTTCCGAATCTAGGCAGAACATTCCGCACGGTGGAATGAGTCTGTCCTAGCTTGTTCTACTTGGTTCTCCAAACCAAAAGAAGGGACAAGGGCTCGTTGCGGGACGATCATGTCCCATTCTCCCCGTCCCGAACCAAACGCTAGCATATAGCACTACTTAATTATATCGCCTTTGTAGTGCATTGCTTGAAACAATAACCATTCCATGCATCATTTTCTATTCTCGGTAATAGTTATACCATAGAATAGAAGGCACAATAACTATTCCCCACCTACAACTACTTTTAGCATAATTTACGGCCATAAACAGTTCATTCCAAAATTTCAAACAACAAGATTCGGTAAAACATCCATGGAATCAAGTGCAATAGACCGAGTCTCATAAAATAGACATTGACTAAAGTTCTTGCATCAGAAATAAAATCGCATCCTTGTTCTCATGTCAAGATCACAATTGCGATTCCAAGTTTTGTAATGTAGTTTCTTGTTTACCTCTTTCTGCTTGATTGTCACATCACCTATAATGGCATGAAAATCATGTCATGAAATTTCATAACTGGTAAGTACAAGAATATGGAAGCCGATTGGCAACGGCTTAACAAAGAAGGGTACAAATCAAGTGAAGAAACTACAAGTGTAGGATCATCCCTTAAATGGAGAATGCCGTCTAGTATTTCCATAAAAGTTATATAGATAGATCAGAATGGTAACAATCTAGTAAACATGGAAGTAGATAATAGGGACCCAGTGTTTGCCACGACATTGAGCACTAGTCAAGCAGTAGACCAATACTTACACATAATCGTGGGGGGGCTATGCGGCTGTCGTCGGCTAGGTAACTCAGGCAAGAGGATGCCAACTAGTACCTAGATGCCACTTAGTCAAGCTAAGTAGGCGCCTTTCAGAACATTACACAAAGAATCCTTCAATCATGGATATTGGTTGCACACTTGCACTACTTGCCATTCTAGCTAAAAGGGTGATGGATATGGGTGGTGAACACACATTCATATAAGTGTATAATATAAACGCCATGTCATGTGGAACAAGATTAACAAAAGCTTTGATGGATGGAGCAAATGAGAGGAGCCCCTAACCGTGGTCTAACATCAACAAGGTCATCTCCATGGGCAACCAAAACACAGAAGGTGTGAGTCACGAATTCATGATCCTTTTCGTTTACTTCCACAAATTCACCAACATTGATGCCAAAGGCAATATATTCAATGAAAAGTGTGCCAATAAGTTCGAAGTTTGACCAATTGTAGTGACATTGGCCATCCAAGCATCACATGTTATATTCTATCTCTTTGATGTCCAACATTGCTTGATTGCCATCACGCCATCCAATGTGTCAAAAAGTTGTAAGACTAGTCGATGTAGTTGGCCTTCAACTCAAGTAATAATGATTTGGCAGGAAAAGTAATGTTGAGTGACTCCGATAAAAAGTTTCTCTAAACAAGTTTCTAATATGATATATACCATAGGATGGATACCATATCATAACTACTGCTTTGAATGGGAGTTGTGCAGGTAGGGAAGAGATATCTAGGGCAGAATTATGCTTCATTTGGTCATTCCTTGCTTCCATCTCATTCGTTTCGAGGCTTTCTATCAGAGAAACTAATTTGTAGGAAGAAATTTCACAAAACCCAAGGTTTTACGATGTAATGTAAGCATGTGTTTGGTTCTAAGACTAGGTGGGATGGCATGGGACCATCCCTGATTTTTAGGATGTGATGATTCCACTCACATGTTTGGTTCATAGGATGGGACCATCCAGTTATTTGTTTCGTAGAAAGGATGAGGGAGGGATGGGATGGACGCCATTTGTGGCTACCGTCAACCCACGTCTGATCCCGACACCACGTTGGTGGGAAGAGCGCAGACGAGCCAACGGCCAGAGGTAGGATCGGCGTGGGCGGGCGCAGCCAGCAACTCGACGAGCAAGCAGGCGAGGAGGGACGGTGCGGCCGACGACTCGACGAGTGAACGAGCAAGAAGGCAGAAGGAGGAGATTCATGAGTGGGCGAAGGAGGAACGGAGCGGCTGGTGACTCGACAAGCGGTCGAGCGAGCAAGCGAAAGGAGCTGCAGCGACCAACAGGTAGGCGGGTGGACGAGCGGATGACCGGTTGCGGAGGAGAGGCGAGGCGACGGCGGCCACTCGTGGAGGAGAGGCGTTGGTGGGCCACGGAGGAGCGTCAACTGCTTGCGGAGAAGAGGCAGTGGCGGGTCGCGGACGAGTGCCAACCACTCGTGGAGGAGGCAGTGGAGAGTCACGAAGGAGCGCCGGCCGCTCTAGGAGGCGGCGGCGGGTCGCAGAGGAGTGTCGGCCGCTCACGAAGGAGCGGTGGCGGCGGCGAGTCGCGGAGGAGCACCAGCGATTGCGGAGGTGGTGGCGGGTGGTTGTGTCGGAGAGCCAGCGGTCGTGGACGGGTGGTGGGAGCGGACCAGCGCCGGCGGATGCAAAGGTGGGATTGCAATTAAACTCGGCTCAATCTGAACTGACGATGTATGCTCTGTCCAGGTGAGACGAGCTCGTCCGGCCGATTTTGCCGGATAGCTTGGTCCCGGATCTGAGAGGAATATTCCTCTCCAGGGACAAACCCAACCCACTCACCCCTAAACCAAACAGTCCTAAAAGTGGGTTTGCCCTGACCCATCCCATCCTATCCTTGCAACCAAACACATCCTAAAGCAAAACTCTAGCTTTTGCAATTTCTCAAGGAATTGTGACGACAGGGTCAACAATTGAGAAGGATGTTTCATTGCAAGGAACACAACATAGCTAGATCCGATCAAGAGAGAAGACAAATTGGTGAAGTCAATAGAGCTCTTTTAGATAAGGGACACATTTCATTAGTATTCTAGTAGACCCAATTAAGGCAATGCACTATCCAATCCTTGAATGTCATCAATCATGAAGCCTTGTGCCTTCACCTTTTTTGTCACTATCAAGAGAGTGAGAGGGAGAGGGAGAAGGAGAGTGCAGAGGAGAGGATAAAATGAGATAGTGGAGCCCACCAATGTGAGATTATACTAGTAAAAAGGGTGGCATAGCAGTGTGTCCATGTTTTTTTCCTATAACCTTTGGCCCTAAAAGCCTAGGTTTCTTTCGAAAAGAGTGTTATCTTTGCCCCTAAATGTATTACTAGCAAAACATATATTGTTTTAACTAACAATACATACTATGCTATGTTGTGATGTGCAGGATATCCATAGGCAGCAAGTTACTCATAGTAGGCTTACTGAAATATGGAAAGAAGATCACCCATATTCATGTGAATAGCAAATCAGATAATTTTAAAAAGGCCAAGGCGTTAGGCATCACCCACGGGCACTTTCTAGAGAATAGAGAACTTTTAAATTTCTCATGAAACAGTGTATTAGCATCAAACTTTCTTAACTTCATTTACTAGTCACCAATGATCCCCAAAACGGCTAGTCTTAGAAATAGAAGTGTGGTATAGTACTTTGGCATACCTAACTCCATATGCTAAATTTAAGTTTTTTAAAGAAAAAGTAGTATCAAAACTTGCCATACTACAAATGGAAAAGGTTGTGTTTTCCTTTTCCTCACAAGCAGATGCTCGTAGGCTCGTAACTACAAGAACAGAACTAGCTTCAAGTTCAAAAATTAAAGGCCAGATGATCGCAAAAATAATTTGACTAAGGAAAAGTTTTAACAGATAAAAGTTGGCAAGAATTAGGCAAAACAGAACGATTGTTCCAACCAACAGTCAACCGAAAATCCAGGTTCTACCCTAATCAAGTTTTTTGCAACACATTTCCTTATGCCTCGAACTACATAGAGCAAACATCATGGCATATGGAAAAGAAAAAGGAAACATACGAATGCTCAAACATGATCAAGCATTACACATTAGCCATGGTATCCCTCAGTCCAACACCTCGAGCAATGCTCTGTGATGGAAGATTTAACTTCCCGAAAGGTAAATCTAAGCACCAGCATTTATAATCGAACAGAGTAGGAGCAACGACATCATTCTAATCTAGATCTCCAATGTAATTAACAAAACAATAACACAATCAATCATATCAAATTATCAATCAAGCAGCATTTCAAGAAAAATAGATGTAGGAGGCAGTGAGCTGTTTACCTCAGGCTCTGTTGCCTCGGGCTCAGGCGATGCGCAGCCATGGGGCTTGTCGCTGAAGCCGTCGTCGACGAACATCTGGCGGCGGAACATCAACGCCATGGAGAGGTGGTTGTCGGCGGCGTTCCTGCCGGAGCGACGCCGATCTGGCTTCTTCGCCACCTGGCGCACCCAGTTGAGCATCCCCACGAGGTTCTCCCTCTTGCGCTTCAGGTCCAGCACCTCCTCGACGCCCTCGGCGTCCCTGGCCGCCGGCGCGAGGAACTTGCCCTTCTTGGCGCTCCCGCCGCTGCTCCCGGCCTCCTCCCTCAGCTTCTGGGCCCTGAGGAAGCTCGCCTCCAGGGGGCAGAGGTACTTGTGGTACACCAGCATGATGGGGACGTCCATGGCGGGGTTGAGGCCGGCCATCTCGGCGGCGGCCGCCCACGAACGCACGGCCTCGAACCCGCCGCACGCCCTGACGGCGAGGTACAGGCGGAGCAGCCCCACGGGGGTGCCGTCCCCGAGCAGGGGAGGCATGGGGCGCGGCGGGAGCACGCCGGGCCCATGCGACTGCGCGAGGAAGGACCCGAGCAGCCGCTCGAACACCTCCGGGGCGCGGTCCTCGGGGAGGGTGATGCTGGGCAGCTCCTGCCCGGCGAGGTACCCCTGCGAGCGGAGCGTGGTGGAGACGTCGAACACCGCGAGGACGGCCTCGGACACCGCCGGGACCATGGCGAACGGTGGCGGCCTGGTGGCCGCCGCCGGCGAGGTGGGCGCGCCCTCGGGCGGCGCGCGGTTGGGGCGAGAGCTCGAGGCGTTGGATTTGAAAGGGGGCGCGGAGGAAGGGGCGGATGGTGGTGGTGGGGTTGGGAGGGGGGCCATTTTTGCTTGCAAGCCCTCAGGATTGGGAGAAAACTCCTCGTCTTCTCCTCCTCTCGCCTTTGCTTTGCTCGATGGTGTGTTGTTGGGAGAAGAGAGGGAAAAAAATTTGGGAGAAAAGGATGGCAAATGGTTTCTCTAGCTCTTAAATCATGGAGGGAGCACAAAACCCTAGATCTAGGGAAGGGGTAGGGAAGGGAAGGGGTGGGGTGGGGTGGGTGGGGAGGAGTGGGATAAGGACGAAAGCGGTGGGCCACGTCTTATCTAGCGATTAGCTGTGGATCACCTAAGTTTATTTGGAAAAGATGGCAGGTTCGTGGAAGGTGGTAGGTAGGCCACGCTTGGGTCACCTATCGATAGTGGTGGTAGGTGGAGCACGCTTTATTTTATTCCTTAAAACGTGTTATCCTATATGGAATATTTGTTTAGAATGAGATGGCATGGTGGTAGGTGGAGCACGCTTTATTTTATTTCCTAAAATGTGTCATCCTATTTGTTTGTAATGAGATGGTATGAGCCATGGTTGGTGAGTCGTATTTCGTCTCATTCTATCTAAAGTGGCTATTTTTTCTCGTAAAAGAAACAACTATCTTAAAACAGCACAGAATATGTAAAAAGTGTTTACACATGTAGATTTTATTCTGTGATAGTAATATAAGATGTAATGAATTATATGTCACATGTTTCATGAGTTTTTGTATTTGTTCTATACTTTTAGTATCAAATCAAAATGATATCCACGGTGTTCTCATTTATTTAGAAGGGATTTAGTAGTACCTAGTAATATACAATGTAATTTAATGCATGATTAAATATATTATCTTTTGGCAGCGCGTATATGGTGTATTCACACTGTCAATAGGATGATGCTAAAGTTGGATTTCCTAGTTGAATTTTGTGTTTCTTTATATAACAGCCCCTCCTAATCTAAATAAGAAAAGAAAAAAAGATGACTTTCCCCTACAACCCTAAACCCACAAGTAAATCCATGTAAATGACTTGTGCATTAACCATGTAAGAACATATTTAGTCGTAGAGTTGTTTTAGTAACTAGCTAAATGCTTATGTGTTGCAGCGGATTTTCTCAAAACAATGGCAATATTGAAGAAAATAGATTAATATCTCTCAAGAAAACATAGTGTTGGAGAAGTGAGCTGCCAACCAGGGTTACCCCCACCCCCACCTAAGTTGCACGGGGCACTACAGGACCCACCACCGTTACGATAAGGGCCCATATGGGGGCGCATGTAACCATCCTGAGGTCCAACAAAAGGACGCCTATAGATGCTCCTTCGAAGGAAGGCCCCAAGGTAAGGAGGGTGCCCCAATGTCGATGCCAGCTCGGGGGCTTGATGGCTGCTTGTTAGTGGGCTAGGGCCGTAAGGTTGGTTTCGAGGGCGGAGGCCTATCTTGGGCACACCGTCACAATTACAGGGATTTGACCTGGCCATGTGTGCTCCCTCACCGTGGCATTTTGCGTTAATGGCAGAATGATGTTATGGAGGAAACGTGGGGATGTGACGGGGCGTACTTCTCGTCACGTGCCCATGCCGCTCCAGTAAAAAGGTGACCCCCCTCTAGCCCTAGTGGCTAACGAGTGAGCCCTATGGTGATCAGGACAATAGCCCAGTTACCCCTCCCTATGCATCGAGAGGAGAGGAAAGCACTTGTATCTGGTAGGACCCTACCAGATGGACGATGACAAGACCAAAGCAAACTAGCTCCTGTGCGAGGGCCCCACCTTTACATAAGCTTGTGTGTGTATGTTGGCATTGAGGTAACCCCTTGCCCTATAAAAGTAGGACCAATGCAGCTGAAACAGCGGTTCAAAACATAGAGATCTCAAAGTCGCTCCCCAACAATCACAAAGAACTCTAAGAACACTTGTAACCCTCACCCTTAAGCAAGAACCGTAGGAGTAAGGTATTAGGCTCTCGACTAGCCCGTACTTGTCTATAGCGTTGTCCACGTAATTCACACCCGACCTCAAATACCAGTACCTTGGTCGAATCTCTAATGGAGGGTATCCAGCCTTCCCGCTTGAGGAGCTTGAGCTCCGACAGCTAGCATGCCAGGTAGGGCGTGTGTCATTGTACAAAATACGACAGTAAAAGGCAAAAGGCCACCCCGCCTCCACCATCCACTGCCGTAGGTCACAAGTGGTGCTCGGTGCACAACACTGACCGACACAACCTCTCAGTGTTGGGTTGTGCAAAACCTGGCCGAGCGCGTCAAGAAGTTTCAACGAGAGTGCAGCAAACCAAGCCTACCATCGAGCAGGAGCAGGATAGATGGTGTGCTGCTCAAATGCCTACCTCGCGAGACTGGTGTTGAGATCATCTCTAATATCCATGAAGGGGAGTGCAGCGGCCACGCCATGTTCGCACCCTAGTTGGGAAAGCCTTTCGCCATGGTTTTTACTAGCCAAAGGCGCTCCAAGATGAAGGTGCATTTATCCCCCTAGTGGTTTTTGGTGGTTAATAACAATATGGTTAACGGACTAATGAGTTTTATTGAGCTACACTCAGGTGCTTTAGTCCCAAGATGTCATGGTACGGTCAAGAGATGCTTGGAGATCCCCCCAAAACATAAATTCAAGCGGGATTAAAACTCGAAGTGTGCATAGGCTAGTTTACCTTTTGCAATCGAGTTTTAGAAAAAACCGTACTATTAAGAGGGGTTCCTGGTGTGGTTCTGGGATACAACAAGTGCTCTTAGTGATATCCAAGTGTCAAATTATTTTTGAGAGCTATTTTTGAAAATGGCTCTGCCCAAGACAGAAGGGCTTAGCCGGAAGTTTCGGTCCTTTGGACCCAAAAGTTCCGGACCGATGATTGGAGAACTTTTCCTAAGTGTGGTCCGGAACTTCCGAAGGACAGGAAGTTCCGGCCCTGTTTCTAGTTCAAAAATATGAGTAACGGCTAGATGATGTCACCTAGCCGTTATATATATCCAGATCGTCCCCAGCTCATGCTTTGGCCATTTCACTTTTGCATTTCCATTCCATAGCTGTTGCTAGCCTCTCCCAAGTGTTTCTTTGCTTCCTCCACCTAATCTTGAGCCATTTTTGTGAGAGAATGCGATTTTGAGGGTGAAGGAGAAAATTTGGAGATGGTGTGAAGGCTAGGATTGGTTTGAGCACTTGGGTATCTTGTGGGCTGACATCTCGGTGCTTATTACTCTTGGAGATCATTTCCTAGATGGTTAGGTGTCGCCTGCGAGCTTCATTTGCAATTGTGGATGTCCCGGGAAAGTTTGTAAAGGTTTTCCTCACCTCTGTAAGGGAACAAGGTAAGTGAGTAAAGAATCTTGTGCTGAAATCCTAGAGGTTTTTCTAGTAGAGCAACTCACACTTGTGGCATTTTCTAAAAGTAGTTTGAGTTTGATCTTGGTGGTCACTCAATTCTAGAAAATGACCTTGAAGTGTTGGAGTTGAAGGTTGTGGATTTCCTCTGAGATTTTTGCACAAGTGAGGCGATGGGTTAATCGAGACCCAGCTCTTTGGAGCTCCTCAACGGAGAGTAGGATCGCGAGATTCGAACTTCAGAAAACTCCTCCTTGTCCACTCTGTGATGTTTCTGTGCTTGTATCTGTGATCCTGTCACTTCTGTGTTTACTTGTGATTCATCTCGTGAGAATTGGCTAAGTTTCTAGAAGTGAAATTTGAATTTCATCTGTGTACCCGGAAGTTCCTGTGCAAGAACACCGGAAGTTCCGGGCTGTCTGAGCAGACTGGAAGTTTCGGTGTTCTACACCAAGAGGTTCCGGGCCTGTTGAATTTTACCGCTGCGATTTGTTTTTGAGTTTTCAGGCAAGCCTATGCACCCCCCCTCTAGGCTCCATCTGTGTGCGTTCACAAGACACCGTCGAGCTAGTACAACGGTGTCATGCCTACTAGTTCCACACAACACAAATCCACCAGACGACGCAAACCCTCCAAACCATCCCCCTGTCGTGACCTTTCGCGATCTGGGGGCTGATATCTTGGGCATGTTTCCCTAGGCCGTTGGAGGCTACGAGTACCTCTTTGTCACCATTGACAAGTTCACCAAGTGGCCGGAGGAATTCCTGGTCACCAAAATCGACAAACATTCCATGCTCAAGTTCATTCAGGGTATCACGAGCCACCTTGGGATCCCAAACCGCATCATCACAGATAACGACACACAAATCACAAGCGACCTGTTCAGAGATTACTGTGAGGGCGTTGGGATCAAACTTTGCTTTGCCTCTCCCACCCACCCAAAAAGCAATGGGCAGGTAGAGTGAACAAACGCCGAAATCTTGAAGGTCCTCAAGATAAGATAGTACAACATGCTCAGGAAACACAGCGTGGAGTAGATCGATGAGCTCCCAACGGTCCTATGGGCTACCCCCTAAAAAAAAGTCATGTGAGCCAATTGAACCACCCTGAGCATAGTAGCAAGGGATACATCGTTCTTCCTCATATATGGGGCTAAAGAAATCCTCCCATCCAAGCTAACCTTCGGCTCATCTCGGGTACAACTCTACAACAGTGGCCCCAAGCAGGAACAGATGCGGCGAGACAACATGGATTATCTAGAAGAGCGCTAGCGGTAGGCCATGCTCTGGGTCTCTACCAGCAACGTAAGGTCCAGGCCCTAGTCCTTCGTCATGTCCTAACACGTGCCGGAAAAACCAAGTTGTCCCCAATGTATAGGGGTGCAAGCGAGCGAACCAGTGAACCCGCTTATAGGTAAAATTAGCGGGTAACCCGCGGGTTACCTACCAATTTGACCTATAAATGGGTTTATGGGTCGACCCACTTACATCTCTAGATACGGTAAGCCGGATCACGGCGCGATAACCCATGGGTTACCATTTATTTGACATATAAGTAGATTCGCAGGTCACCTCGCTTGCATCCCTAGTTGGAAGGCCCCTTTTCTGGTGACCGATGTCCCCCAACTGAGCTAAAGACTGGTTACATAAGATGGGACTCCGCTCCCCAACCCATGGAACATTGAGCACTTCCGTAAATCCTATCCTTAGGAATTTTCTAAGGAAGAGCGTGCTCAGGCCAACATCGGCGGTCTTTAGCCCAGCCCAGTAATATTTTTCCGTAAATATTTTAAGAATTTATGAAATTTTGTTTTGCCCGGTTTATGGAAGTTTTCACTGTTCGTATTTTCTAATAAATCATTTGGAATATCCG